ATAAAAAAAAGTCTCATCATGGAAGCTGCAATGTGACTCAACAAGTCATGATGTATATACCCCTTTGTCCATACATCTCTACTTGCAAGTGTTCATTGCAAAGAGTCACAAGTCTGATTCAAGGCCCCTGGTCACCACTCCACAGTCAATGCTGGGCCCCAACTAGGACTCTTCCTGGACATCTTGCTGGCCCCTGTGTTGGGAAGATCCTGCAGCTTTGGGTCTATGGGTCAGGTCCCTTCACATGCTCCAGCAGATAATAGATGGGGTGGAAGTTGGGGCAGGCCAAGTCACAACCCTGGTTCTGGATCTGAGCCTGATTAGCTGTAGGGTTGGTCCACCAGATAGGAAATGGGACAACTCTCCCATGGTCACAGTTTCGGGGCTGGCTCACCCACACGTCTGCTAACAGTGTCGGCTCCATTGTGCTGCTCTGGTGAGATGCAGGGCCTGCTCTCCTGAGTGTTGCAGCTGGTGGGGGTCAGGGATGGCCTGTTCTCCCACTTGCCTCCAGCATTGATGGATGTGGGGCGGGCGGGGGAGGTTTCCCCTGCCCATGTCACCATAAGACAGATGGGTAATGGGGACAGCTCTTCTATGGTAGAAGTTTTAAGACAGAAGGTGTGGCTGGAGGTTTTAGGTAATTGGGAATGTGTTCTCAAAGGGGACTATGACATGCTGGTCTCTCTGTTGCTTTCAGTCATAACATTAATAATTAGACTTCACCACACAACTGCTACCACAATGTGCTGTGCTATGCTATGCTTCACCTACACAGCACATCAGAGGTTCACCTCATCAGAAACTAACTCCAAGACCTGGCCCCAAATCAACTTTTCTAAGTAGTTGTCTCAGGCACTTCTTACAGCTGAGCAGCATGGTGCCTCATACAGCAAGGACCGTGCAAGTGACCTCTGCCCAGCTTTATTGCACTATGCCCTCCCGTTCAAGGCCATCTGCAGTGGGTAGCTGTTTGAGCCATTCCCAGAAGCTTGCCCCTAGTGAGGTAGCAGGTAGCTGTACCTTGAGGTACATGCCCCTGGGGCGTGGCTGCTAGGGGACCCTTAAGGTACATGTGCCTCTCTCTCTTTGCTACCTCATGATTTTGGATGCTGAGATCTTGGACCAGGCAGATCAGCATGAGACATAGCTCAGCTTTCCCAGACCCTACTCCCACGGTTGTGAGTTAACCCCCAAATAAATTCCTTTGCTCATTAAATAGACTCTGTGGATTAATCCCATTAGCCATCTCCATGAATTGGGTTTGGGCTTTTTTATTTTGGTTTGGTTTGATTTGTTACAGTGGTTCCTTTTCAAAACTGCTGGTGTGTGGTGATATTGTATTCCCCCAATATATTGTGAACCCTAATAATCTTATCTGGGGTCAGAGAACAGAACAGCCAACTAGATAAACATAGAGACCAGAAAATGGTGGCACACACACCTTTAATCCTAGCATTCCAGAGGCAGAGATACATCCGGATCTCTGTTAGTTCAAAGCCACACTGGAAACAGCCAGGTATGGTGACACACGCCTTTAATCCCAGGAAGTGATGGCAGGAAGCAGAAAGGTATATAAGGCAAGAGGACCAGGAACTAAGTTTGTTAAGCTTTCAGGCTTTTAGCAGCAGTTCAGCTGAGATCCATCCATTCAGATGAGGTCACAGAGGCTTCCAGTTTGAGGAAACAAGATCAGCTGTGGAATTGGCGAGGTGAGGTGGCTGTGGCTTTTTCTGATCTCTGATCTTTCAGCGTTCACCCCAATACCTGGCTCCCGGGTTTGTTTTTATTAATAAGACCTTCTAACAATTCGTGCCACGGTCGGTGTCTCATATATCCTTTATGGTATAGAATTCTGAAATATTTTGAAATAGATTTTCTTATAAAGCAGCTTGGATTTTAAATTGTGGTTTATCTAACTCTGTCTAGGTCCCAGTCTCAGGCTGGGGCAGCTACACTTTCCCTCACCTTCTCCTCCTCTGTGCACTACTATACAATCTCTAAGGAATATTTTCACCTGACAGAGAATTTCAGAATACCAAAGCCATAGCTCGCTGAAGAGCGTGGCAATCCGCATACTTAGGAGAAATCACAAAAGAACAATTTAGAGATAGGTAAAAATATTTGGGGTAAGGAAACCGTTGTGAAATGGGATTCTGAGGGCTGGTGGGCAACTGAGGACGACTGTTATTGGCTCTTCCTTACCACAGAACAATCCAGAAATGAGTAGCCTAAGGCCCGAGCTGCACTAGGCTGAGCCTGATTCCACTGAGCAAACTTCCCCAAACAATTTTCACTTCTCCTCAAAGCTTGAAATGTAACGGCTTTAACTCCACGTTTGGAGCCCAGGGGTTAGACTGCAATTCTAGTGGGAAATATCTCATTGCACAGAAAAGACGTGAGTCTGCTAGTAGACCACACATTTTGATGGAAGTTAGTTCCTTTAGTTCTGAAAACGCTCTGTGAACATTTATGGATGCTGTTGCCAAGTTACAGCGAGCAACAAAAGGCTGTTTTCTTTTTAGCTTTGATGTCTTCATTCGGCAAGGCAAGCTCGGACCACTAGAGGGCGCTGCGCCACAGATTTGTGATGAGATGGCTCCAGACTTTCTCAATTTTGTGTTTATGACTACTGAATGGGATTTTGCACCATTTCTCTTAGAAGCATAAATCGATCCCTAACCCAATCATCTCACCCCCGTAGCCTACCATGTATACGCTACTGGCTTTGGAGCTTTGAAGCTAGGAACAGTTCTGTGCACCAAAATGTGCTCTCAAGACCTGGTTCCTTTTTGAGACAATTGTGCGCACCAGACTGAGAGATTGCCTCTAGCTGCAGGAAACAGAATCCTCACATGTAGTTCTGTCAGTAAGCAGATCAAAAATATGACCCCCTTCCTTCCTCCAGAGGGGGGTTGGGGGGAGATGCTGTTCCAAAAGTTTCATTGGGTGCTAGCTTACATAAAATAGGAAGTAGAAGAAGAAGAAGAAGAAGAAGAAGAAGAAGAAGAAGAAGAAGAAGAAGAAGAAGAAGAAGAAGAAGAAGAAGAAGAAGAAGAAGAAGAAGAAGAAGAAGAAGAAGAAGAAGCCCAGTAACTTAAACTTAATCATGCAGATTACGATTCAGATCTCAAGTAAGTGTCAAGCTGGACAAAGCATGTCAAACTGGTACCCACGATAAGTAAGGAAGAGGAAAAAATGAAGAAAATTCTTTGAAAAAAATTCCAATTGTTTCTGTGAGCACTTGGTGTCTTAAGAAAGCATGATTCCTTCAGTCGTTTTAAGGATCCCTGAACAAACCAGGGTAGAGGGATAGCTATGAGAGAGAAGTACTCCTCTCCCCTGCAGGTTTTAAGATAACAGATCCTTAATAGATATCACATAAATATGTCCATGTTTAGAATTCTTACTTATCCAGCAAAATTTAACATCTTCTACCCATCAGAAACTGGTCCTGTGAAATCTCAGGAACAGAGGGTAGTCGCTGCCTTTTAAAACTTTTCCTACTTAAGCTTTTCATTTGCTTTCATTGCAGATTCAAATCCAGCTGTAAGAAATGATGCAGAGGTCCTTGGTACCCTGTCTACCAGATTCTCTAATATTCACAGCTGGCAGAACTGGGTTACAGCGGCACAACCAGGATATTGGAATGGATGCAGTCAAGGCACAGGTATGTCCATCACAAGGACCACTCAGGTCTGCTGTGGGCAGATTCTCTTGCCATGTTTCTTCTGAAAACATCGCAGTTCCCCACCTCGTTCCTGGAGCATACTTCTGCTGAACAAAGAATCCTGGGTTAGTAGTTCTTTCTTCTAGGACTTGAACATTGTGCGGCTTCTGACTGCATCATCCGGACTGGTTTGCCGTGCTTAGGATTATTTCCCTTGCAAGGGAGGGGTGGAGCCTTTCACTGATGTCAAGGATTCCTTCATTTTCAGTAGTTGGCTGTGATGTGTCTTGACGTAGATTTCTTCGCATTTGCCTGTTCAGGATCTTCTCAGCTTCTTGAACTTTGTACTGTTACATATTTTGCCAAGCAAGGTTTCCAGCTGTTATTTCTTCTGGTACTTTTCTACTTGTGCCTATTCTCTCTTCTTCTTCCATAATTTCAATAATATAAAGTTAAATAATTTAGTACCCCACAGGTCCCTGATGATCCACATACACTTTTTCATTCTGTAGTGGCTTTATTACTTAAACTGAGTAATTTTTATCTTCCCATTCACTACTTCTTCCTCTATAGATACAGTTTTCATTTAAGCTTATTTATTGAGGACTCTTGTTTGCCAGACACTATAGTTTTAGTTCCGAAATGTCCATTTTGTTCTATTTTATATTTTACACTCCCTCAGAATGTATAGTTTGGTATCGTTGCTTCAAGTGTGTTTGTAATTACTCATTGAAGCATTGTGGTTTAACAAGTTCTTAAATCCTTACCAGATAATAATCCCAACTTCTCTGTCATCTTGGCTTTGGTCTCTGCTGAGGGCTTTTCCCACTCAGTTTCTTTTCTTGTCTGTAGTCAAGGTGAGCTATTTTCTATATAAATGTGGACATTCTGAGTCTGGTGTTGAGATTATAACTCTTGTTCAAACCTTCTGGGTCCCTCTGGCATCGTTTTGGCAGAAGGAAGGTCAGTGCCAATTCATGAGCTCCAGGTAGAAATGGCATTATTTCTCCCTTGGCCTTAATCCACCTCAGACAACAGTAGGAACTGTTGATTGTTGCTGAATGGGCACCAGAGTGCTGCCCCACCAGGATGGACTGTGGGTGTCACTGTCTGGGAGTGACAGGTATGTCTCCTTGCTACTACAGAGACTCCATATTACTGAGAGGTAGAAACTAAAGCTAGATTTCCACTCTGGGCTCCAGTGACAACGAGAAGGTATGTGTGTGTGCTGATGCCCAAGCTTTAGCTGCTGTGAATGTGACTCAGGCTACGGAGTTTTCTATGGCATTGACCTCCAGTAGAGGTGTCCTTTAAAGTGTCCCCTCCCCCTGCCTGCCACTTGACTTACAGGAATCATGCTTTATCCAGAGCTGTTTATCTTTATCTCGTTTCTCCTGTGTTTACATGGCTTCTCCAGGTTGCAGGCTTCTCCAGCTTTAAGCTAGGGGCATAAAAACCAAAAGGAAAATGTTAATACAATGAAACCACCAACATTGTTTTTTAGTTCTTGAGACCCCTGGCCAATCTTTCTGTTCCTGTTTGCCTTTCGGTATATTCTTTTGTGTACTTTATATATATATAATTCCAAGGACCATAGTTGGTTTTCGTGGGAGGAATACGGAAAATGTGTCTTTCCATCTTCTCAGAAGCAGAAACAAGTGAGCATTTTAAAATGTTTTGGCACTGTAATCAAGGTTGATTTTAGTCTTGTTAATTCTTGCTTCCCATTGTCCCTCTCTTCGTGGAAGCCTTAAGTGTTCTGGCACAGCAGCAGGGAAGCCAGACACCTTCTTTCTAATTTGCAGAAACCATACTTGTTTTAAAGGCACAAAACACCTTTACAGACTTCTAAGAGTTTTAAGTATAGAATGCTTACTAGAAGACACTGGGAGGTCACGTGACATGATATGGACAGGTTTTCCTGACAAGCGAGAGCAAGCATTCCTCCTAGATGCCAAGCAGGCAGGAACGAGGCACTAGGGGTGGGAGCAGGGGTGGGAGTGGCAGGTGTCTTCTCTCTCAGGCTTGAGACCCATGGGGTGTTGGGGATGCTGTGTACACCTCTAGGTGGAACCAGGACAGAAGGGGGCATTTTACACCAAAAAGTGGGCTAAAAACAACAGCAGCAACAAATGAGTCTTCTGTGTTATGAATGGCTACGTTCACAGATGTAGAAACTGTGGTGAAGCACAGCTGGACGGCATCTTCACAAGGCTGGGTTCTTCCTGGCCCCTCACCACCACTCCCCTTCAGCAGTTCCTACTTGCTGCTGAGAGGTGAAGAATCTGCGAAGGAATGGAGGAAAAAGAAACTGGACAGAGTGCGTGAATATAAAGGGCAGAGGGCGAGGCTACAGGAAGCAGCAGACGCATGGCAGAGAGATGTGGTAGAGAACTCAAGTAGAAGAGAAACAAGGACCAAAGCACACTGGGGGTGAGGTGGAAGCCCACCTAAGTCAGAAACATCACCTCTCCTTCCATGCCAAGCTCCCCCGCGTTCTCAGAAGCTACTGTAAGCAGTAAATGATGGTATGGGGGGTGGGGGGCAACAGAACAGGAGCATGGTGGACTCCCGGGAGGAAAGGCTGCCCCTAGCAAGCAGCTTGAATTTTTAATCAGCTAGATTTAAATTCTAGATAATCACACCAGAAGACTAAATTCAGAACCAGAAGAAAATAAGTAGTAAGATTGGAATGGTTTGGTTTGATATGTGAGGTGTTTTTTCTCCTCTCTCTCTCTCTCTCTCTCTCTCTCTCTCTCTCTCTCTCTTTCTCTCTGCCATCATTGAAATTTATGAAGGGTATGTTTTAAAAAGTTGGATTTTGCTATAGAGATAATAACTTTATTTTTTTTTTAATTATTTCATCCTGACACATAAGAGACTTAGGGGATATGTAATTCATCTGCTTAAAATTCGGGTTCTGCCCACTTTGAGGGGGCATCTAATCCAATTCACAATTTTTATGAGAGAAAATAGACTACAAACGAAGAAGATCATTATCTCAGAGTCACAGAGCCAGTTACTAACATGGTCAGGACAGGCCACCGAGACAGAGAGCATTCAAAAGAGCCACTTTCACCCTGTACCATAGTTACTTCCTCTGAACTGAGCCAAGTCCCTCCTGGAGGAAGCAGGGAGGGCTCAGTGGCTCACAAAACTAACTGAAGCTTCCAAGATTCACAAGGTTAGATGAGCAGTAAACAGTTCCTGGAGGCAGAGGAGAACCTCTCACGGAATAGCTGCCTATGAGTTGTGCAGGGGACTTAATGTAGGTTTGCAGAGGTCACTAACTACTGGGATGGGGCTTTCTGGTAGTGTGGCCCCCTGAGTCACTCATACTCCATAAGTAACCCCAATCAACTCTGGTTCACCAAATTGAGCTTGAACAGATTCATCTCTTGAGTCTGTCAGCACTGACCTATGTGGAGTAAATAAATGTTGCCTCACACCTCCCCAGGAAAAGTCTTGCAGCATAGGCATCATAACTGATGGAGGAAATCACTGGGTTTAGTAGATGTTCAGGTTTACACACACACACACACACACACACACAGAGAGAGAGAGAGAGAGAGAGAGAGAGAGAGAGAGAGAGAGAGAGAGAGAGAGAGAGAGAGTGAGGGAGGGAGACCTCTGCTCTTGGGACCATCAGCCAAAAATCAGTGGCATTAAAACTGTTCCCTTAGCTTTCTCTCACTTCAGTAATTCCCTTTGCTGTGACATTCAATTTTTGCAGTGCCAGCCAGTCGTGACTGGTTGTGGCATCTCTAACAAAACACATTGGATTCTGTTGTAAAGTCTCATGGTTGCATTGCAGGCCTAAAAATAGAACTATATTGTATCATCGGATATGTTCAGATGATGGGTGACACCATTCTCCTCCTCTCTGGAAATAACAGAGGTGGATTTTAGAATTCTGCTATCTAAGCAGTACAAGACAGAGGCTCACTCATTTCCCAAGCAGATTTGGGTTCCACTCGGCCCATTGCTCCCAGACATTGTCTTTTTACTGTCTGGAGCAATATTCCTTTGCTCTTGCTTGTACGCTTACTTTTAAATTCTATTTCACTTAATTGTACGTGTGTGTTCCTGTATGTGCAGGTATATATGAGAGCAGGTGTGTGTGCAGATGTAGACACACAAGTGTGGAGGCCAGAAGAGAGTTTTCAGGCTTGTTCTTCAGGCACTGTCAACAACCTGTTTATCTTTTTGAGACAATTTTTCACTGGACTGGGGCTTGTCGGGTACATTTGACTGGCTGGCCCCCAGGCTGGGCTCTACTTCCACAGTGCTGAGATGACAAGGGTGTCCCACCAAACCTGGCTTTAACAACACAAAAACATGCCTTCTGGGATTAAACTCCTGACCCTGTGCTCACAAAACAAAACACTTTACTGTCTGAACTAACTTCCAGCCCAAAAGTGTGTTTTGTAACCAAGCTAATCGAGAACTGTAGGACATGAATCCGTTTTCTTACTTTCATCAACTTCTACTTTACTCATATTCGAATGATTTGTTCAAATTGTATCTCAGGGGCAAATGAAAATAAGAAAGGGGAAAAGACCTTCTATTGAGGATGTAAAGTGCCTTTCACATCACAAGTTTCTAATGTCACAGGCTACCTGTGAGCATACACTAGCATGTCAGTGACACATTTCTCATTCTGTTTATGTAGTTATACTTCCGACTTAAGGTCATTACAAAAGGAATCTTGTGAAATGAGAGTGGGATTCAGCTACAGTAAACACAAGGAGTGCATTTTCTTCAAGCTTATTTCCATTTAAACCATATTCTTTACTTCATTCTCTCTCTCTCTCTCTCTCTCTCTCTCTCTCTCTCCCTCTCTGTATGTGTGTGTGTGTGTGTGTGTGTGTGTGTGTGTGTGTGTGTGTGTGTGTGTGTATAATTATAGAAAAAGAGGACATGAGTTGAAAGGGGGATATGATATGGTGGGGGTGGGAGGTATTAGATGGAGGAGAGGTGGGAGTGAAAATAATATAGTACATTCATGTATGAAATTCTAAAATAAATGTTCGTGGATTTTTTAAATCATCATCATCATCATCATCATCATCACCATCATCCCCCCATCTAGAACCAGACATGAAATCAAACTGGGAGAGCTGTTTTCTTTTGTCAAACTGTAACATGAATAATCTTTTTCCTTTTGATTATATCCACAATCTAGGGGCTTGCTTGGACAGTGTTTGTACAAGATAAATGGCATTCTCTAGAATGTAAGAGAAACCAACAATTTCTCTTTTGTGATTCTTCACACTAAAATGACAAGCTCCAATGCTTTTTTAGAATTTGGCTGCTCTGTACTTTGTTCACATCTTTTTAAAAAGTCCTTCTTCTTTGGCTTTTTCTAATCAAGGAACTAAATTGATATCTTAGCCAGAGGGGGCCTGAGGAAGATTGCAAGCATTATACTGTACTTTGTCGAGTGGGTTTAGAATAGTTTATAGTACATTATCATAAAACAGATTGACATCAATAGCATAATTGCTGCATGAATAATCTCAGTACAAGTGAGGCCTTCCAAGGCCTTTTCATTGTAAACAATCATTATGCTCTCACCACATAAAACAAATGCCTCCTGGGAATTAAAAAAAGTAACTCTCAGTTTTCTGTAGTTTATATTCCTTGGTATCAACGTGAGATAGCTAAAGGATGAAAGACACTGGCTAGTCCACATGAAGGGATAATATTGAACATAGCCAGTGATTGTTGATGCAGCAAACCTATGGGGAAAGCCATACATGTAACAAAACATTGGTAAGGCAGTCCCCATTACCATCACAATATCTGGCACCCGGATTTTATTCCTCTGCTTTTTAACATTATTTTAATATAAAGAGTATTATAACACCATTTTAAAACCCATGACGGCACACTAATAATGCTAACTCACTTTTACATGTGAGAAACAGAGTCAGAGAGATTAATAAAATGACCGAGACAGATTTAAAAAAAAAGAGTATTCATAAGCCACAATATGTCAATGCTAAAATGCAAAATAGGCTCAGGCTGCCCGGCTGCAGCTGTGCTTGGCGCCTCCTGACAGAGCAGAAGCCTGGTAATTAAAGCTTCTGCCTTGTACAGATGTTTTTCTTCACTTTTCTGCCCTGCATTCCCTCCACGCTAATTAATTCAGTATTAATTTGCAATTAATGATTGAAAAATGGGAAGCTTTTTCAGCTCCTTTAGGCCAGAAACCAATCTTCCTTTGTCTATTTCTCAGCATTTTTCTTGCTCATTTCCATGCAACGTGCAAGGAAAACACACGGAGTCCTGGATTGGATGGTGTGAGATGCTTTTTGAATCCAAGAGTTCGGAGTGTTTGGTGTTTGGTGATATAGTTGTAAAAGTCTAAGAGGGAAATGGGACTTTCGGATTTAAGCGGCTGCCAAACAAAATCTCTGTTTCAAGGGTGTGGTGGACAGCATAATTCCTAACCACCGCCATTTTACGTGGCTGGAGAGATTAAGGGAGCAGATGAAATTAAAATTGCTCAATGGATGACCTTAATATAACAAGGTGCTCCTGGGTTATTAGGTGGGCCCCCTATGACTATAAGGGCACTTAAAATTGGATTCAGGACGGGGGCGAAGCTAGTTTGATCATGACACAGAGAGATTAGAACATGGCTGTCCTGGGAGAAGGCTGGAGGTACAGCAGTGATGGCACCCCAGAGTAGGGAAAAGGGAGGAAACAAATTCACTCTGACAGTTCTCAGAAGGGATCCAGCCCCACTGAGACACCAGTTCAGGCTTTTCACCTCCAGAGCTATTGAATTAAGAAACGAGATCATGGCAATTTATCCCAGGGACCAAAGACACAAATACTGTGGGACACATATTCCTATTCGATAAGCATCTCCCAGAATTATGGCTCTTTTTAAGACCTTTTTTTTTTAGGAAATTTGCTATTCTGCCAGTATGAAGAGCCCACATTAGACTGCCAGCCAAAACCCATGATAGACAGGATAGCATCTATCCATAAAGCATCTTTTATACTAATAGTTTCTACCAGGTATTCTGAGTCATGAAGAAGCATGAGCTTACTTTTATATAGTGGCATGGTAGGACTGGTGTGAAAATGGAGAATGGGTCTTCTTTTTTTGTTTTGTTCTTTGTAATTTTTATATATGTGTGCGTGTATACATGAGTGTGTGTGTGTATGTGTATGTGAGTATGTGTAGTGAGTGTGTGGGTCTGTGAATTTGTATGTCTGTGGTGGATGTGAATGTGTGCAGTGAGTGTGTGTGTGTGTATGTGTGTCTGTGAGTGTGTGTCTGTGAATGTGTGTGTTAGTGAGTATGTGTGTATGGGTATTTCTGTGTGTAGGTGTATGACTTGTGTATATATGAATGTGTGTGTCTGTGAGTGTGTATATGAGTATGTGTATGTGAATGTATGTATATGTGAGTGTATATGTAATTATGTGTATATGTGTGAGTGTGTGTGAGTGTATGTATGTGTGTGGGAGTGTGTATGTATGTGTATTTCTCTGTGTGTATGACTGTGTGTATATGTATCTGTGTCTGTGAATGTGTATGTATATGTGTATGCCTGTGAGTGTGTGTATGGGTATTTTTATGTGCATGTGTATGTTTTTGTATATATGAGTGCCCATGGGTGTGTGTGTATGTGTATGTATGAATATCTGTGTCTGTGAGTGTGTATGTATTCTCTATGAAAATCTAAGAGGAGGCTTTTTCATGAGACTTAATACCCATGCATCTCCATAAGCTACATTATGGTGGTACAATGTATGTATACAATGTGTAATGAAGTAATTTCAGCCAGTTATTACCCTACTACTCTTTTGCTGCCTGTGCTTTGGGGATATTATCCTTAAAAGCAAAGCAAAACATTGGACCTGAGGAGACAGACCAGCAGGTGAATCACTTACCATGTAAGTCTGATGACCCATGAAAAAAGCTGAATGCAGGGCTGTGCATCTGTATTCTCAGCATCCCTACAGGGAGATGGAGGTGGAGCTCAAAGCTCACTGGCCAGCTAGCGGCATACAGAGGGCAGCAGTGGAACAACTGGGGATCAAGACAGGGAGTGGGAGATATATATATAATCAACCTATGCTATATACACATATTAAATGCTCAAAAAATAATATCTCAAGTCCCTCCTTTCTCAGAAAACACCCAGAGCAGGCTGCTTAGGTAGCAAATGGGGCCACATGAGAAGTGATCATGAGGGGATTTGGGTCAAGCAGAAGCTTCTGATGAGTGCTGTCAGGAGCCACAAGGACAGGATGGGATATGACTTGGGAAATCACACACAGGAAACAAGGGTGATGTTAAATCCAAGTATATTCCCTTCCCCAAGGCTGGGGAACCTGGCAACGCTTACCTATCAGGCAGGACTTTCCAGTTGCTCTAACCCGTGATAGCTATGAGCATCTCATTTTTCCCTATGAGGGTGGGGCTGTTAACTGTGGGTATCCTGTTTCTGTCCCACTGCTGTATCTTGAGTGTGGGAGGGGAAACACGTTTTAGTTTAAAAATTTCTAGAACCCAGAAGAAGAAGAATCGCATCTGGAGGTGACATAGATCCCAAGACACTCTTCTCTACTCTGATGCCATCAGGCAATCAGACATTTGGGGATCTCGGGGGTAGACATGGTGTGTGAGAGAGACATGTGAGAAGATGGAGAATAGGTTGGTATGTTGGATTGCCAGTTCCAGTTCCTTATTCTTCTGCATTTGAATTACACTTAACACAGTCTTGTCATTTTTCTTATGGCAAGGGGACAGTGCTTCACCACCCCCAAGCTTTAGGCTGGCCATGTCACTGGCTTTGGCCAATGTGAAAGTATACCCTGGCAGATGCTTGCAAGGTTTTGTGGGGTTACACTTGCCTTCCAGTGTGCCAGGAGAGGGACCTACCCTGATGGCAAAATGACCTTTCAACTTAGGCTGAAAAATGAATACAGTTTTCAACTTAAGACGGTTCAAATTTAGATTGATTTTCATTCTAGATGGTGTGAAAGGAGTAAGCATTCGGTAAAAACTGTACTTTGAATTTTGACCTTTTCCTGGGTCGGCAATATGCAGTAAGGTACTTTCTCGAGTGTCTAGATTGTAGGAACCAGCTGTAACTGGCTCCCAGTCACTCAGCCATGACAGGAAATATCACCACTACCCAGTGTACTGTCATTAAGCTATCAAGCTGGGTGTACTAAATGCATTTTCAACTTAAAGTTGGTTTATTAGGACATGGTCCATCTTCAGTGAAGGAATATCTATCTATAAAATATATCTGAGCCCAGATCTGCAAACAAGGGCCGTGTACCTGAAACCAAAAGCATAGTCACACACACTAACCCGCAAGCATTTGCATAAGAAGTAAACATGGGTCGTGTTTTAATCCATGCCACCCAAATTCCATGTATATTTATTCTGTGATGTGACCAAATCTCTGTACTCTGAGTCTCTGCTCCATTGCATTCTCCAAATTTCATATCTTCCTAATTCATTTCTATGCTGAATCTTCCCATCAGACAATGCATGTCAAAATTATGAATGCCTGCATGCAATAGCCAATTTGCAAAGAACTTTATACACTCTGTGGATTTTTAAAAGAATATACTTACTCTTATCTATATGTTCACATTCTATTTACATATTTATATAATATACATTTATAGTCTGTTTATTCCATTTCTGTCCTGCAAACATGATTTTTGCAATACTGAGTTAGCTATTTTTATATTGTGCCATTGAAAGAGCAAACATACAAGCCTCATTAGCAATTTTGTATGTTTCCAAATTCCCCTGCCTCTGCCCACACACCTTCCAATGCAGCCCTGAATCCTCTCACCCACATCAGTAAAGACAAGGGTTATGCTCGCAATCACTAATGTCTAAAAGTTCTCTCTACTCCAGCTCCAGTTAACCCAAATGTCAAGATATTTACTCATAATTCCTGAGGTTTTTTTCGTCTAGACTGAGGGTAAGGTATGTGTGGGTTAATTTAGCTGATAAAGTGCAATCTAAAATGACAATAGCAAAAGAGAAATAGTAAGAATGATAATAAGAAAATAATAATGAAAGCTTTAATGAAGAAACAGTCTGATGGTGAAGCAGGGTAGAAATGCTAATGTATTAAAAAGGGTTAACATGTGACTTGGAAATTCAGCCTCGATATTTAGATTCAGGGGACTACCCTGGTCTGAATTCATGATTATAGAGCTAATTTTCCTTAGAGAAATATATATGCCACTTCTTTAATACCAGGCTAGTTTCCTCCAGGGCTCTCATCCCCCTCCTACCATCCCAAGGAGCTTAGGGAATTTAAGCCAATTATGAGCATGTGGCATAATAAGAGCAAGAGTAGTCTTCGGCAAGCGCTGGCTGATGTTCACCCCTGCAACTAGTCTCCTGAGTGTCTTTGCAATGCATTGCTTCACCTTTAAATCTGTCAACAGTTTGGCCCTTCTCTGTCCACAGTGGTAAAGAACCCACCTCCCAAGGAGATACAGAGCATGGATGAAGGAAGAATTCCTTCTAAGATTCAGCAAGATGCACACTCAACAGCCGCATTGGACAGGCTTTGAATCACTGTGTTTTCAAAACACTAGTTATTCTGACAACAGAGTTCCGTGAAACCAGCTTTTATTCCTTGCATAAAAGTCAAATACAGATTTCCCAAAAATCATTCTGATACCAGGGAGTAAATAACTATTGCCTTGTTTTACGCATATTAGAGATTTCTGTGAAGATGCCTAAATATTTTGATTAATTTGAAAGTAGATGAACTGATGTGTAGGTATTTACCACATCAAAGTGCTCTTCTGATTGAATCAGTATCAAAAATGCAACAGAAAAGGTAGGATATTCATCTTAAGTAGCAATTTGGAAATGGTGCTTTCGTGTTTGGAGGCTTACAGCCCCAGATTTAAATACTAGAGTGATCAATTTGGTGGGTGTGAGGGAAGGGCCTCACTCTGGATTTAATAGTCATGCCAAATGTAAAAGCATCTGTTCTAGCTCTTGGGAGCGTAATTACAACAGATAAGGCCAGCACATATCTGAATGGTAGTCCATGTTCTTTGGCCCATATAGTCTCATTTCATCTTCAAAGCATACGTCTGGGAGATAGATATCATTAGCGTTAATTACTGGTGGTGTTGGGGATGAGGCGGCCTTTGCAGCTGCTTATCAAGGCCTAAGAATAACTTACCCTTCTTGAGCTCAGCCATATCTTTTCGGGTCAGAATTTCTGCAAATTGAACTAGAGCTATTTTTAAGTGTGATTCAAAAAGGCAGCTGTAATTCAAGAGCCACCGAATGTGTCAGCTGATGGATCTAGTTCATATCCTTCCTTCATCACCCAGCTCCTAGTGCAGCGGCACACAGGTATTTGGAATGTTGTTGTGCTTTCAATGTCAGGTGAGATCCAATGATCCAAGAAGTAAAGACCTAGTTCCCAGTGCGGTCTGCTGAGAGACATTTAAGAGGTTGGACTTAGTGGGAAGTATGTAGGTCATTGTGCTCCTGAACAGGATAGTGAGACCCTAGTCCCCTCTCTTCTTTCTCTTTCACTCTTTAGTCACAAGGTAAGCAATCTTATATTGCCCAGTGACATGCTATTGCCATGATGTGATGCCTCATTACAGGCCAAAGAAGCAGAGGCCAACTAGTCTTAGACAGAAGCCTCTGAAACTGTGAGCTGAGATAACCTCTTTTCTTTAAAAGTTGATTTCACAGGTAATTTTTTTTACAGTAATGGGAGACTGCCACAGCCATGCTATGCTAGACATTTTGCACATCCTAAATCTGCCCAATGTGATTGCACACCCCTTGAGTTTTATCATATTTGAAACCTTAGTGCAAAGCTTTGAACAACCACCATCAACAAAGGTTCACTCATAATGAGCTTCTACGAAACGTCAGAGGCCACTGTGGCACATTGCAATCCTGACCTAAAGACAGGACAGTGGCTCTCTAAGGATGCATTGTCCTGTTGAGCCACTAACAGAACAGAAGTTGGAGATGACTAAGAGTTAGGCCTAGCCTGAGAGAAGTGAAAACCCATCTTAAGTGGCTAAAAGTTTCAAGAGCCAAGGCACAGTCAATACTTGTCAGATGATCACCGTTTTTCAGTTGGGGTTGCTATTATTTCTTAACAATCTTACCAAGTACCCTGATTGTCTGTCCTGCTATCTCTCTGGAAAGAGTCCACCTAGCTCATCTCATCTTTGTCGCACAAACCTGGTCTTGCCTAGCAATGACATAATTACAGAATTTATAACTGTAAAAGAAGCCTTGGTGTACATTTCCAAGCCCAAACCTAATTTTCAAATGTTGTTGCCCAAGAATAAGGGACTTCATGGGGTTGTGGTCAGTTAGTTACTTGAGAACACCCTCTCCTGGCCTTTCCCCACCTAGAAGTACATAAACAATCCTTAGCTCATTGTCTCACCAAGGAAAAACAGCTGGGCAGAAAGCAGAAATTGTCAGCAACCACTTTTTGGGTCTGAGTTTTAAAATGGGGAACTTAGAGCTGGGGGATGCCATAAAGACAGAATGTGTGGGAGGTGCATGGGTTAAAAAGTATTCATTTCTTCTACTCCATGCCTAGAATAGAATTCTTTAGGTCAGAGGGAAGGAGTGTGAAGAGGAGGCAAGAAGACCTCACCCAACTATGGGCCCAAGAAACCCAGTTTCCTTCTTTCTGGGAAGGTCCCCACAGAAGAGGTGGCTTCATTGTGAATCTAGGCACATTAGTCAATTACCTTTTAAAGATTACTCTCCAAGAAGGGAGCCAGAAGACGTGTTGAGCTCGCACTCCTAGAAGACCCAAAGTGTTCTGGGTAGCTAAAGCAAAATGGAATACCCAGTGACCAGAAGCCTCCCACTCCCTCCAGTTCACCGTCCAATGCACAACGGAAGTCCTTCCAGAGCCTCTGTCTCAGCCCAAGGGCAGGAAGATCCAAAAGTGACCTGAGATTATTAACCTTAGATTATTAACTGGTACCAGTTAAACATCCAGTTGAGTTAAAGGAAATATGGCAGCTAATTCCCTAGCT